CTCAGGATGCTGGGCAATGTGATGTATCTTTTTGGGCCAATACAAAAGTCATACTTGAAATAGTTCTCGCCATGGAATTTAAAAGTTGAGGGTGGAATCTCAGACCAAGATCCTGAAGTCGGCTTCTCTACTCTACAACATGGAATGATATATCCTGGTCTAGGTCGATACAAAAACCTTTTTGATTGACCTGTGGATTTATCATTGAAATGTTCAGTAATATACATGTACATCAATCCCAATATTCTAAGTTTTCTTTCTATTCAAACAAAATTGAATTATTTGAATACTTACATTGTTCAATGGTTTCTTCTGCATCACAGGATCTCCTTTTAAAAGAAAGTCTGAAAACGGCTGATGACTTTCTCTGGGACTGTGGAACCAAACTCTCTGCACTTAGAATCTTATCATTGAAACTTACAGAAGGTACCAATTGAGATAAGCTAGATTTTAGGGCATTGTCTTGAATTTTTTATTAGAATCATGTCCATCCTCTGTAAGTCCTTTAAAGCTTCCATAAGAGTGATCTAATATATTCTTCCTCTTACTACAAATTTCATCAGCCTTCCCTAAGTGAGAAAGAACATAGCCCTGGGTACTAATAAGTGAAAACCGATTTGATTCCCTGTGCTCATCTTTGCCTGTGATTTTATCTGATTTACCTCCATCTATTTTCATATAGCTTTTGGTATTCTTCATACTTACACCCAGTATCAACAAAGCAAGCAGATCTTTCGTACTGAAGTACTTGGCCACTTGAGATATTCCCAACTGGATTGCTTGTTAATGGAAAACCATCTTTAGAATAAGAGAAGAAAATTAAGAAAACAAAACAAAATCCTTTTCCAATAAGTAGCTCAAGAAAAATTACTTCAGTAGTAATGACATTTTGCAATCATACAAGACCACAAGGCTTTCATTCTGTAATATGTAGTTACGTAGACTGATAAAGTCATCATCCGAGTCAGACTCCAGAATACTCACTGAGTCAAACCAAGCTTCCTCCTGGAAAATTACTGCAAATGAATCACTTTCAAAATATGAGATTCAATAGCTATGAATTTTCTTGTCAACACTATTGGTTGAAATAGAAAGATAGTTGAAATCTAATGAAAGAAAGCACACACCATTTGAGTCATATTGACTGTGGTGCTATCGCTGCTGGGTGAGATGGAATGTTGAAGTAGAAACCTTAGATCTTCTGTGAGTAGTTGTTGCACCATTCTCAAAGTCCACATGAACAAACTCACTGACAGCATAGTCACTCACGCGAACTCCTGCATCACTATTTATTTTCTTGAAACTGGTATTTCTTTTCTTGGTACCATCTGAAGCAGAGCAGGTTGCCTTTCTATGGCGTTTGATGACCCGCTGACAGTGTTTTTTCCGTGATTTAATTATTTTGGATGAGGTTGACATGCAACCAGCCATTGTAGCTTTTAAATCATGAAAGTCCCAACTACAACGATGCCTTCATCAAGTCCTCTCCAACCTGTGTGCCTACAAATGAAACAAAATATATCAGAGATGATTAAAGGATTTCTGGAAAGCAGTTTCTAAGATCACAAATAATCATGAGAACGTAATCAATTCTTTCATCATGAGACTGTTTCAGTAATTTATGGCTCAAACGCTAGGCTAGTTAACCAACTTAACACTTAGAAATTATTAGAATCAAACGGATGACACACAGAGGTTTCTATGTTTAATGAGTATGGTGGCACTATTAGAAAGCACCTTGGTTAGAAGCGACTGGTAACTTGAAGCACTATGCTAGTTATTCAATCAATTTGTGAATGAAAATTTGTGCAATCACCATAAAAATCAAATGTCTGATTCAAACCTTCTCAAACAAAGTGGGATGTCTCTTTCCCGGTAGCATAGATAAGCCACTTATCTATCTTAAGCCCCAAATCTTTAGTTCTGGCTCACTAGAACATAAACATGACTAGAAAACAAAAAGATAGTACAACTACCTCAAGAACAACTCAACAAAACCTTAGTCCCTATTATCTATCTTAAGCCCCAAATCTTTAGTTCTTACTCAGGTTTAATTAATTAGTACCTTTCTCTTAAGTAGTTGGCATTTGCAAAGTAAATGGGAGCATCAATCTCAAGTATAAGAATTCCAGGAACGTTGCTTGCATTGGGATACTGCTCAACATTTCTGTAAACCATGGAATTTGGAAGGTTTCCTTGAACAAAAGTCCTTGGCCTTGCCACAAACAAAAGTACCCTGATCACAGATATTGCAACCTACACAGAAGAAAAAAGAAATATTAGTTCTAATGTGTAGTTTTAAGTTGTTAGATATAGTGTTACCGTCACACACAATAATGATACGTACCACTAAAACTAGTCCAGTTTCAACACTGCCAAAAATGACGCCGATATAGGCACTCATGCAAACAACAAAGTCAAACTTGTTAACCTCCAGAGGTGAATTGCGGCTTCATAGTCCATGACAACAAGCAAAGCCCGACTATGTGTTTCTAAGTTTGTATATTCCCCAAGTCTGATTCGGTTAGGATTTCCAACTACGCATCCAACTTAGGACAAACCAGATTCCTAACAATTACATACTACTTTTACAGGCTAAAATATCTATGGCTTCCTCTAGTAATAACTTTTCGACCACATCTTTCTCTTTCAAGATGCAAAACACATAATCAAAAGCCAATTTTCGTATAGCGGCCATCAGAAATTGAAGCGATTTCATAATTTAGCTAAAGTCAGAAAGAAAAAAAGAAGGACCCGCCTAGCCCCTAGGCCGTTTTTCCAACAGCCTAACTGAACAAAAGCACAGTTTATAGTTTTGAGCTCTAATTATGAACATCATTACCGAATTTAACATTACAGAACAAAATCCACCACATGTTCTAGATTTCTATGCATCATAGATTTTCCAAAATAAGCAAAAATATAAAGATAATTTAGTTAAAACTACAAGTAATCTGAATGCATTCCACTAAAAAGCAAGAAGCAGAGTAATTGGAGACTGAGCTTAGTGAAAAGAAAAACCTTGGGTTGAAGAAACTATCCCACCAGTCAGAGGCTGCGGCTTTAGGCTCGACTGGAACCAAGCTTAAGTTTTTCTTCAATTTCTTATATTTCTTGCTTTTCTTTGATTTCTTGAGAGACGCCATGAGAGCTCAAATGAGGAATTGCCCACCTCTTTTTTGGCCTTGAAGACTTTGATGGGAAGTGATTCAGTGAAGCAAGCCAGGCAGCGAGGGAAACGTAAAGCTCGTATGGCCATTTTTGGCCTTTAAAAAAAAAGAAAATAGTATAGCCGCCCGGCTATATCCAAAAAAAAAAACTGATTTTTGTTGATCTGTCATCTCTTTGAAGGAGTGTACAATAGCACTTGAGAAGCATGTGCTTGCAAATACCACATCTCATACACTAGACATAGAAGAATCAGAGGTAATCTCCATGTCTGTTTATACATTCCCTCTGCAATGGGAAATTGAATTGAGATGATGATCCATTTATTAAAAGCTTCAATACTCTCTTCATTTTTTCTATCTGGAACTTAAAGCTTTACTCCATTTATTTCCTTATTTTAATTTTGTTTAAAAAATGGTATAGCCGTATGGCTTTACGTGCTGACACGTGGTGCATAGGCAATGGGCTATATATAAAAATCGTATAGCCGACCGGCTATACTAGATTTTTTTGAATTTTTTTTAAGAAATAGTAGGCCCGTGCGACTATACTCGTTTTGCCTAATTTTTTTTTTAAAATAGTATAGCCGCCCGGCTTTACTGTTTTAAGACGCGGCGCCTAGGAGCTGAGCTTATCTTTCTTTAATATAAATAGTATAGCCGCGCGGCTATACGTTTTAAAAAGAATATTTAATTCAGGAGCTTTTGTCGGAGGTATTTTTTTTTTAAATTTTAAAAATATCTGCGATTACCCGTATACTGCCTTTGGTAATTGGTAAGTAGCTTTGGTTTCTAGTTAGAGTTTTCTTTCCTTAGTGAACTTATTCGCATGAAAATAAAAGAAAAGAGAAAAAAAATATGAAAACTGATGATTATAGTTGTCTGCTAAACACTGTAGCTACATTGAACGGAATTAAGATAGATGACGGTAAAGAAAAGGAGTATGCATGGCTTGCTGAGACAGAACCAGATAATCTCTATATGCGCCTGGGAAATTACACAGGCCCTACTGTTCAAGTTTAACACTCAGCAGTCATCAGTGACGATTACTAAATGAGCCCCATGCCTCTTTGTGTTTGCTCCAGCTTTAGACCTTAGAGAGAGAACATTCCATTGTTGCTGACTGCATTAGCCTAAGCAGAGAGGTAACTAAGGCCCTCAAGCCTGCAGCAAAACTAGTTTATCATAAAGGGAATTGAAAGAAAAATAATGGAGCTTGTCGTTGGGTGATGATATCAAGTTTATCATCAATTTAACAGCACCAAGAAGGATCACAACCACAATGAGGAGATATGCATTGTGGACTGCACCTAGAATAAAACCACCAGCTATGATCCCCATCATGAAAAGTAGAATCAAAGACCATAATATTAGCTTTGGGAAGCTCTTCCTAAACGAAAACTCGTCATCTTGGCTAAGAGTAGTAATGGCATGGTTGTGAACAATGGAGGAATCTTATACTTTCATTGATCCCATTGACTCCAAAGGATCAGATACTTTTGGAGATTATAGCCGCGCGGCTATACTCCTAGTCCAATATTTTAATAATATAGCCGAACGGCTATACTCCTAGTCCAATATTTTAATAATATAGCCGAACGGCTATACTGTTAAAATATTCTAATACATTTTCAAAGTATAGCCGAGCGGCTATCCAGTTTAAATATATTCGAATATTTTAATAGTATAGCCGTCCGGTTTAAGATTATATTATTTTTATTTTTATCTATTTACCAAAATAGTCGCCTTTTCGACTGGGGACTAGTTCCGATATTTAGGAAAAGAAGCTTCAAAGCATGAGATTCTACTGCATATGAACCTCATCAACTGCGTTTTCGACCAAAAAAAAAACACCTCATCAACTGCGCTACTCTCACTGGGCTATGAGTCTCACCGTCAAACTGGGCTTTCCTCAACCTGCTCATTCTCTGGTTCTGCCCACATCAACTTCCAAAAACAAAGTAAGCAACACCATCTTTCTTTCTCTCTCTCTCCGTTTGTGTTGTTTCTCTTCTGTGCTTTTTTCGGTCTCTTTTGTCTTTGTCAACTTCATGTTCGTTAATCATGTAGTAATAAAAGTTATCAAATTTATCTATCGCAGACTCAAAATTCAACTTTAACTCTATCATCTCCAACTACTCAGAAACCAAATGGAACATATGGAAGCAAATTTCCCTGTTCAATTGGTATTAATGAAACTCAGCCAAAGTCTCAAATTGAACCCTTAATTGATATCCTACATGGTTGTGAGGACATGGGGTCTGTAAAACAAGCAAAGGCTGTTCATGGGTTTGTGTTAAAATCTGAGCTTTCGGACCGAAACTTGCTAGTAGTGTTAAATCACCTAGCTCATGCCTATTCGAAATGCTCGGATTTTGGCACAGCTCGTCGAGTGTTTGACGAAATGTCATGTAGGAACGTATTCTCTTGGACAGTCATGATTGTTGGGTCGACTGAAAGCGGCTTCTTTCTCGATGGATTTAAGTTCTTTTCCGAGATGGTGAACAGTGGAATTTTACCAGACAAGTTCGCATATTCCGCAATTGTCCAGACATGCATTGGTTTAGATTGTATTGTATTGGGCAAAATGGTGCATGCCCAGGTTTTTGTAAGAGGCTTTGCATCTGATACTTTTGTAAGTACATCTCTCCTTAACATGTATGCAAAGTTCGGAAAGGTTGAGGATTCATTGAAGATGTTTAATACTATGACAGAACATAATAAAGTCTCCTGGAATGCAATGATTTCAGGGTTGACATCAAATGGTCTTCATTTTGAAGCATTTGATCATTTTCTAAGAATGACGAAAGGAGGAATTACACCAAATATGTATACACTCATCAGTGTCTCAAAAGCAGTCGGGAAGTTAGGTGATGTTAACAAGAGCAAAATGGTTCACAGTTATGCTTCTGAATTGGGAATGGAGTCTAGTGTTCTAGTGGG